CACATGATTTAAAAATAAAAATAGATAAAACAATAAGTTGCATAATTAATTTAGAAGATAACACACTTGCACAGGAAAGCAATGCAAGTCAGCTCCCTGTATAGCTATCCTTATCTCAATTAGCAAAACCCTTGGTCCTTCCTATTATTGCTTATACTCTCTCTTCAACAAAATTAGAGATAAGGGCAAAATAGTTTCTCCCTGGTAGCGAGGGGGTGTGGGGGGAGAGGGAGGAGTCGGGGGTGTAAGGGAGGGGGTGGGGGGAAGGGGGGAGAAATGACCCAAACATTGTATGCACATATAAATAAAACAAAACAAAACAATAAGTTGCAAGTTATTCCTTTTCTATGATCATTCATCCAGTTTCTACAACTTTTGCCAATAGATAACTACTATTCTTACATTCTTGTGTCTTCACATAGGCATTTTGTGCATATATAACTGAATACAAAAACGTCATTCTCTGTCCTGTCACAGAAATAGTGGCATAGGGTACACACTGCTCTCAGTGTATTTCTTTCCTAGATTGGCATTTTTTTCTGGGTGAGTACAAGAGGTAGTTAGCTTGCTATATGCACCACATGTTGTAGGATATTACCTGAAGTGAAAACTAAGTTTTACACATAACAGACTCACACCTCTATTGCTTCCTTTGTCATTCAGTGCTGACTTTAAAAGAGAGAGAAAAAAAGCTAATTCATGATGTCAGTCCTTCTTAAACAGAAATGATTTGCACCATACATTGAAAAATTTTAAAATACTTTGTCTATAGAGAGTAGCTAATACTAACAAAATATATCTAACAATATAATTACAGATTTGTAGTTAGTAGGGCACATCATTGTACTATTTGTTTCTCTAGTAGTGGTAACTTTGTACTTACATACATTCTTACATTTGACTTTATTTGAAAATTTGCCAGGTCATTTATTCAACAAGAATTTACTGATTAGTCACTATATACTTGTATGTGCTGTGGGAGGCACAAGAAATTTACAAGATGCTTTCTGACATCCAGAAGCTCAGAGGCAAGTGGTAGACATAGCCAAATACTTGCAGAATGTTTAGGTAAGAACATCAGACAGGGCTTCCATGAGCAAATATTAGCTTCTTTCTACCCCTGTGGTCATCAGCCTCAGTCAGGCTTCATTTCATCTTGTGTGGACTGCTGTATTGGATTCCTGCCTCACCCCTTCATTTCACAATCCCTCACTCCTATCCACTGTACAGAGTGAGTTGCCATATGAGATGACAGTATCAGCATTTCACTTACCTGATAAAAGCCAAGTAAACATAACTCCCATGTCATTAAAGGTCCTGATTGAAGTTTAGGTACACTGCATCATTCTGGTTCAGATTTCCATAGTTTTCTTCATCTCACATTTGCGCTGTACATTTTCCCTCTCTGAGAACATTCAGCGGTTTTGCTATTTCCTTTTTTTCAGGCTAATTCTCTTCAAGGAACAATCCACTCTTTTTTTTTTCCGAATTCTATCATCATCCAAAGATGATCTTAAATATAATACACCCCCCAAAAAGTGTGTGTGTGTGTGTGTGTGTGTGTGTGTAGATAAATGCTTTCTTCTTTTTACTTTTTTTTCTTTATGGCAGTACCAAAATTTGAACTCAGGCCCTTGTCTTTGCTAGGCAGGTGCTCTACCACTTCAGCCATGTCCCCAGCCCTTTTTGCTTTAGTTATTTTCAATAGGGTCTTGCATTTTTGCCCAGGCTAGCTGGATCAGGATCCTCCTACCTATGTCTTCTGCCTACCTGGGCTCACAGGCTTGTGATCTGTATTTGAAAGATTTAGTTTTTGTTTACTTGTCTCTTCTGTTGGACTTATGTCTTTGACTAAACATGGTATTGTACTACATTTTTTAACTAAATATAAATTTGTACATACCCATTTCTCAGTGAATATTCATATAGTAAAACTGATCTTATTTGAATCTAATCCTATAGGGAAAAAAATTAAATTTCATGGATTGAACTGTCCTAGGAAGATTGTTTTGGATAAGGCCTTGCATAGGAATTTGAATATATGGATAATAATGTGACAGAGATTCCATGATGAAAATTTGTTGGAGAGAAACACTTAAAGCAATTTTTAAAACTACTAAAAGCAGCAATTCTAAGTTTTGTACAGTTCTACTTTCAATAAGTATAAGATATAGTTGGCATGAAGAAGTAAAAAGAGCCATGACATTTCCATTGGTATGTTAGTGAAGTACAACTTAATGATACTAAAAAAAAAACATTAAAAATTAAAGATAGATCAAATGCTGCTCTTCATAGTGATCAAACATACTCTCACAATGAATTTGAACTAAATTAAGTTGATTGAGATTTATAGTATATAAAAGCACTCTGAAAATATCACATGTTCTATATGGTATGTGGAATCTAAACCTAAAAAGGAGAAAGACATGAGTGTAAAACAGGGGGTGCTATTTGGAGATGGAGCCAGTGAGGGGGGTGAAGGTGAAAGGAGAGGGTCAAGGAGGGTGAATATTATGAAAGTACTTCACGTGCATGTATGAAAACTGAATAACAAAAACTGATAAAAGTTGTTTTAAAAAAGGTGGTGGGGAATAAAAAAAGTAGTAATAGAGGGGGTGTATTATTTCAATGTACAATATATTCATGTATGGAAATATCACAATGAACCCTCCTTTATAATTCATATATGCCAGTAAAAATTTAACAATTGACTTTCAAATAGGAATCATCAATTATAAGAATTCTTATAATTATGAGATTATAAGAATTATGAGAGTACTTATACTTAAAGTTACATTTGTAATTATCAAGATTACAGGCTTTGAGACAGGGAGGTTTTTCTTTACAGTACCCAGGCAGGCTCAATTTAAATCAAAGAATGCCTGTGGCCTCTAGAAGCAGGGAAAGGGAAAGAAATGAACAGATCTCTTCAATGGCCTCTGGAAAGGAATCAATGTCATGCTTTTAACCAAGCTGTTATGTTTATGCTGTTTTAAGACATTAAGTTTGTGAGAATTTTTACTGCATAACAGGGAGTTAATACACCAGACACATGGGAGAATTGAAAATAAAAAGAAAGAATTTGTTAATATTTACCAAATATGAATGTGTTATTAGCAGTCAAAAACTGACGTTTCCACAAATAATTCCTACTTTTCCTAAAGACCAGTTTGGAATATAAAAGCTTATGATTATAAAACCTCCCATTACCAATCTCCTGAAAATTATACTAATTTTAGACTTCATTTGTAGATTACTTACTCTTGAACATGAATGTATGAATGAAGCGTTTTTCAAAACAACATTATTAATGAAATGTATTGTTGCTGCCCTAATCCTTGGAACACACCAAACAAGTAAAAGAAGTAATAATATAAGACTGAAGTCAACAGAAATAACCTAACAATTAATTACTATTTGCATCTGTAGAATTCTAGAAGGTGCCATATTTTAAAAAATGGTGAAAATCACTTCTCACCATATTTTCCTTATAGGAATATAAGTAAAAAATCGGAAAACCAATGTTAAACCAAAAGTATCTCAATATGCTTTTGAAACATATTTTTATTCCTTTTTATTCCCTAATAAATATCACAATGGAAACCAGGAAATAAAAACCCAACTCTGGAAATCTTGTGATAATGCAATGTGGCATTAAATTGGCAGCTTAAATCTTTAAATATTTTTTCTATATAATTTATAATAACAGCATAATCATCCCAAATACTGACTGCAACTAGAAATATAGATGAGAAAATACAAAAGGAGCTATTTTGATTTTTAAAAATTATTTTTTAAAATAGTTTTTTGTTTCTTATAAATTTTAGTAATTTTTTTAAAAGATGGTAAATATATAAAGACAACCTGATAGTAAAAGTTAAATGACTCCATTTTAAACTAATAAATCAAAACAATTTAGCTATCTAACCTAGAAGACCAGTTCTCTAATTCCACTTCTATAAATCTGTCATGCAAATAGCCTTAAATAAAATAAAATAGATTTGGAAAAACCCATGATTTTTAATACAACAAAATTTTACCTTTCCCCCCTTTTTTTCCATTCTCTCTCTCTCTCTCTCTCTCTCTCTCTCTCTCTCTCTCTCTCTCTCATTACTATTGTACTAGGGGTATGTTAAATCCTAAACTTTTTTTTGTTGTTTTTGGAGGTACTGGGGTTTGAACTCAGGTCCTTACACTTGCTACCACTTCAGCCACTTCACCAGCTATACCTAACTTAAACATATAACAATAAGAAAATGGTCAGTAAATGGATCATAAATTTAAGTGTCATGCACTGAAACAAATACAGCATGAAAGTCAATGTGAAAAAAGTTTAAATTAATATGATCTGAATTATTTTAATGCATGCATAGAAAAAAAATGGAAAGCAATATGCAAAAAATGTTGATCTAATCAAAGGCATTGTTGATTATTTAAATTTTATTCTCTGTATTTTTATAAATTTTGTTTTCCAAATTTTCAATACTATAATTGATATTACCTTAATTAAGAAAGCACATTTTTAATGGAAGAGTTCTAATATAAATAATCACCTATTGCTTATTCAACATTTAACTTACTGTAATCACGTATATCCCATGAATACACATGGGCTATTTTACATCAAACCAAATAGCATCAAAGTACACTTTTGGTTTGATCTGTGGAACAAAGTCACCTTAATAATGAAATTCAATATTAACCATGAGGAAACTGGGTGCTAGGAAGAAGTTACACATAAAAATTTTATAAGAGAAAGGACCTATTATTTTTAGAAATTTATAAAAGCTTATTTATCCATTTACACAACCACTAATGTTATCTACACTGTGTTAACTACCTCAATTATTATTATATAATCAAATCTTACTTTTGCACATTCTTTGGATCTAAATTCTATAACGCTGCAGAATTTATTCTAATAATAATCTAGGTGATATTGGTTTTATACACCACCACAGGTCAAATAAAAACAGTATAATGGTGGCATTATTACTTACTGTGGTAGCACAATGAATATCTTTCCATACTGTTGCTTCCCTGGAGAGATCAGAGACTTCAAACAAATTATCAAGAATCACTTCCCCAATCATGTCATGCCTAGAAAATCTGTCAAAGTCATATACGCTGAAATGTAGTTTTCGGTTGCTTAGTTGGTCATATGCTACTGGAAACTGGAAGGTTTCATCAAACTGAGGATTTAAAGTCTTTCTGTGCACACGGGTTTGAAATTTCTTTTTCCTGTCTGGAAGAAGATACATCTTCACATAAGGATCAGAAGTTCCCGTGAAGTCTTTAGCTGGAAGATCTAAGGCTTTGATAATTTTAACAACTAGGAGTTCATTTTCATAATCATACTGGAGAGTAAAGTTAAGTTTCCCACAGGTTTTGACATCTTCTTTCATGTTGCCCTCGGAATCAACTGATTTTTGTTTGTAGAGCTCTGGCTTTATTCTCCCAATGCTGGTTGTTGTTTCTCCTCGTTGCAAAACAGGTTCAGTGCCCATGTTAAAGTCAACACTGGAAACCTGCATTTGTCTTGGTAGGTGTCTCCTGAAGGAATTGTGGCTGTACACACACATGCACACATAAACACAAAATCATTTAGGTAGATCATTTTGATGGCAAATCTACAAAGATAAACTCTCCCAACTCCTAAGACAATGAAAAGACAGCAATGTCTACATCTACATGGGTAGATACACACACACACACACACACACACACACACACACACACGTACAAAGAACTACTTTTGAAAAAAGTAGAAACACTATTCAAAGAAAAAATCTCCTAAATTGTAGAAATAAATGAAATTCAGAGATGTACATTATTTTGAACTTTTGTAATTTCATACTCAATCGTAAACATATAATTAAAGAGCATTATAAAGAAACATGATTACCAACAAATTTCAATATCCCGCAAAAGTTACAAATGTTATCAATCATCTTGGTATACCTGGATGTAAATATTAAAGTTATTCAGGTGGTCTGTTACTTTTCATGTGGACATTTGAATTCATGTTTTAGTGATTATGGTTTTAAAATATAAACATAAGTCCACTTATTCTTATGTGTTAATTATTTCTAGGACTTAAGATAACCATATGAATATTTGCTTTTACAAAGAATATATAGTGTGGCAGCCTAAAATATAGAATTTTGGAATTTGGTTCCAAAATAACAGGGTTTTAAAAATTGAAATTGAAATTGAATTTTTTATAGTCACTGTTACCATTCAGCATTTCCAGAATATTAAATATGTAAACTTACTGATGTCTTTTATGTGTGACTTGCATTGGTCTGCTTCTCTTACACTTTCTTTATGAATCATTTCTATAATAAGCTATGCCAGCCTATATTTCTTGCAGGCTCAGTCCCTGATCATTTGTTTTTGTCTCTCATCATAAATCTCATCTTGAATCTGATGGTTCCCCAGCTATATCCCAGCTACATAAACTTCTTCTCCTATATCTGTAGTTCTACAATGAAGATTTCTAAATAGATGTCCTAATTCTACCCCAAACTCAAGCAAACTCATCATTTTCTCCCTTTTGCTGTCACACTGGTTCTCTCTCTTACAATCCCTGACAATAGCACTAACATTTTCATGAGTCACTCTCACTTAGAAATAAGCAGTATGCTCCAAATCACCTTCTTTCATCCATGAGATTTATGCAGTTCTCTACGTCCTCTTGAAACATCTCATATGCTTATCTATTTCACTCCATTTCCATTGGTACTCAATCTAGACCCTCATCATGGTACACTTTGCTTTCTGTAAGACCCTTCAGCTGTGAATATCCTTTTAGTGCATGGTCAGGGTACTCACTTCAAAATTCTCTACTCATATCTGTTGTTTATTGTGTCAAATCTACACCTTTCATAGCACAAATGCTGAGGACATTCTTAGTTAATGTTTGATTCTTTGATGTGTATATGTGCATTGATTTCTTAAAGAGAAATAAAACTTTTGTGAACATCCAGAAGGGAGAATGCTAAACCAAGAAAGGAGAAAACCAGGGGCAAAGTGCAAAGATGGGTTTAATGGTGGCTGTTTTCTTCATGTATGACAGTAAGAGTTTATGGAAGGCAGAGGTAGACAGACTTCAGCTTAATATAAGGAAATGTTTGGAAATACCTCAAGTTATCTAACATGGTGAGATAATGAATTTCCCCAAACTGGAAGATGTTGAAGAAAAGGACTTTTGCCTCAAGTGAGATGCTAGACTATTAGGTATTTTCTAACTGAAATTTCTGTGATTCCTTGTCATTCTATAGTTCTTTGATTTTATGGGTCTCAGTATCCATGGTTATTATTATGTGTATTAATAAAGTGAGATTTATTAAAATCAGAATTATAATCCGAGATTTTGCCAAGTTTATACCTTTATATTGGCTTACTGTCTGTAATGACTAAAATATCAAAGAATTACTCAATTTCATAAAAATGCTTATAGCTGTACTTCAATTCAAACTCTTTATAGAGTTCACTTTTGCACAGATAAGACAGATGGACCAAAATAAGTTCTGAAAGTACTGGCAACTCTTTGCCTGTTTCTGTATTATTCACATATATCCCCCCCTCCAAAAAAAATGAAAAGGAACTATGGCTCAACATATATATATATTTAAGATAAAGATAAATTAAGGTAATGATTGAAACTTGTAAAGTGGAGGAACAGTGTTACAGGTGAAAATATGAAAGTACAATACAACAGTTCTGAAAGATCTCTTCTTAACATTCTGCTTAAACTTAACCACCACAATGAGAGGAAAGTTTTGTTGGGCTGTCATAGAATTATAGGGATGAAAAGAGAAGGCTTACAGAGAAAATAATATTCCAGTGTTAGATTAGGGCTAGAGAATTCAAGAATTAGATTGAGAGAAAATAGCCAATGATAATTTGGGTTAAAACAGACTAGTAAAAATAGCAATAAAAGAAAGAAATGCTATTACGTTTTCAATAAAAATTTTAAAATGCCCTTGCTCCTCAGATTTTTTTTAAAAAAGTTAACATAATGAGTACTTATGATGTGATAGGTACAGGTTTAAGTTCTTTATTGATTAGATCCTTAGTTAACCTTATGAAGTACTGTGTTCCCTCTTTTACAAAGAACAATGAGGCACAAAGAAGTAACTTATCCAAAGTAGCATAGCTAGGCAGGTGCTAAGTTAAAATTTGACAGGGAGTCTGGGTCTATGGCCACACTCTTGACTACTACACTATACTGTCATATTCATGGTTTTCCCATTTAATTAAATTACTTGAAAAATTAATCATCCTGTTAACTAACCATAGAAAACACTGAAATTTATTTATATGGGCTTTTATGTAACTTTTTTCACTTTAACATTATAAATAACATACTTATGTAATCAGTAAGATCTGAAGCCTACTTTTTTGAGATTTTTTTTAGAGATATTTTTCACTTCTTTGACTCATTATCAACAATTGAAACACAGCATGGATGTTTAATTTGTAAGTAAAATTATAATTAGACATCATGTAAAACATTATCAATTTTATTGTTACAGTATAGTTTATAATAAATGACATATATTTTCAAACTAGTATCTGTTTCCTTAGACCTATCCAATTTTAACTCACTAGTTATGCAATGAAATGAATTTTGACCTTGAACCTAACCAGATATAAAGGATGGAGAGACTAAATTAGATTTAGGGAAAGATCTGATAGAATTTATGAAAGTAACAAGATAAACAATGAATATAGGTTGTATATTTATTGTTGTGAAGCATTAAAGGAATCTAGTATAATCCAGTATGTATAATCAATGTTCCTAAGATACCTGGGATAGTTCATTGAATAAATAATCTAATGTTCCTGATAAAATCATTTTCATTTATGCACCATGATTTTGATTTTTCTGAGAAAAACTCCTAAAGGTTAATTCCTAAGCAGTTAATTCCTTATAGGGTTATTCCATAATTTCAGTCATGCTTTGTGATATAATAAAACTTTAATTTATTCTCCACTCAAAAATCACAATTATTTTCTTTATTCTTCTGAATATAAATTGTGCAGCTGTAAAGCCTTTTGTAATAGGAATCAAAGCTATAAATCTTCTTCTAATAGGAAAAAAAATATAGTAACATTTTTGTTCTTGTAAGCTAGTATCCTAATTATAGGGTAAATAGTGCATATTCTAAGTCGCAGTTTAGCTAGTCAGTTAAGAAAAGCTTTAATTATTACAATGTTAACCTATTGCCATGACAACACAGATCTTTTTTCAACTTGCTGCTCTCTCACTCTCTCTGTCTTTCCCAGAATGACAGTGACTAGTGGCTATATCATTACACACAAATACCCAACCAATCAAAAAGTGCAAGCCACTTCACTGTTACCTATCCCATTCTTATCCTTCAAACCTAGGAGGGCCCCATCCATGCAAAAAGTACTATATGGAATAAGGCTGCAATTTGGCCTCAGCTGCCCTACACAGGGAGGGTAACTTTGCCCAAGTTACTTAATTGTGTGAGCTTTATTTTCCTCATCTATAAAACAATCCTTTCACAGAGTACTGGTCAAGTAGAATTAATAATGCAAGAACCAGAGAGGAGTGTTTTAAAGGTGACATGAAGGAAAATGAGACCACGTATACAAGTGGTGTCTCTGGCTTTAGATCAAAAGAATGATAGCTAATCTAGTATCAATCAGGAAGATAAATGCATGCATATGGGTGCTGAAAAGAGAATTGATGATTTGGTAGAAGTCTGTGGAAGGTGTCTGCCCTTTTCTCCAATTTTCTTAGTGAAATGTGAAGTGAAGTCATTTATTGAAATGAGTCTAAGGATGAAGATGATAGAAGTTTGAAGAAAGATGAGCAGGTATAAAGTAATCTTGGGAACCTAGAAGATTGAGAGGGAGATGGATTGGTGTACAGAATTAAGTACTTACTTGAGGAATGTGTTCATAAATTTAAAGTGGGTAAGTGAGAGTTGTTTTATGTTGTCATCTCCCCTCCCAACCCTCCCCCAAATTCAGTTTCACTTGTACAGGTATAGAGATGGCAGAGAGTTGAATTCACTTAGGGTTGTAATTTTGCCTTAAAAATTGAAAGTGGAGTGTAAAAAGGAAATTTAGGGCCTACAACATGGTACTAGAATCAATGGGTTGAAGGTTTCAGAGAATTAGAAGGATTACCTGTAAAACTGCCTTTTTAGAAACTTCTCATCACCCTATTTTCTTTCCCTCTACTGCTCTGTCTTTATACCACATTCAAGTCAAAATTCCTTTAATAGCTGAGGAGAGTATATTCATTCCAATTCAGGTACTCTGATTCTATTTAAATCCACTTAAGCGTTTCACATGCCCTATTCCATCACAACCGCTATTGAAAAAAAGTCAACAATGTCTCTACCACAATTCACAACCCTCATCCAGATTGGCTTCCAAACTGTACCATCATGCTTTTCCTAGTCTACTCTGCTGTTTCTACTGGCCAATATTGGGGTACCTGAAAGATTAATCTCTGGTTTTCTGTTTCCCATCAATATTCACCTTGATGATATCATCTCTTGTATTTGGACACCATATGTATC